GAATGGTGATAGCATGCATTCTATATCTGAAACATTACACAAATAGTGATAAACGCCCAAAACATGAAATTTACCACCCTCATTTAATCCCCATCTTATCGCTACTCGCTCCATCTTTGAGTACGCATGGATTTTGAGTATCATAATAAAAACATGATATTAAATGCTAGCATTGATGATGTACTCACTTACTACAAAAGATGCGTCGTAAATTACCATGTACGACTGATAAGAAAAAAATGAGATATTTGCCCAATACAGGAAACATCTCACTTCCTGAGTATATTGTTAAAGTACAAACAAGCTTCCTTACGATTTGATTCAGCAATTCGATTTCAATTTCTCTATTCGATTTTTTTATCTGCTAGATACTAAAAGTGCCTTCACTTTTAAAACAGGACAATAAAAACGTATATGAACCCCCCCCCACTAAAAGATTAAATGTATTTTTCTATAGTGATTTGATCGGAGCGTATATTAAATGATACGTTGTTGCGAACTCGTTAATTTATCAATGTACCTACAAATTGAGAATTCTAAATTGCGTTCATTGATGTTGTGAAATAAAATAAGGTATGATTACCAGGCAATTGATTTCATAGTACACAGAGTGTAATAACCATCACTCTGCTGTTGTCGTCACGACGATGCTTTTGTCATTGACACCAGAAATAATATTTCTAAAACTCTTACCCGTGTGTCATAAAAAATTCAAAGCATGACTTATCTTTTTCACCAAATACCATTAATATTGTTTAATAATTAATATCATCAAACGTAATTAGCCCGTAGATGAGTTCTACTGCGTAATGGAAAGGGGAGGGAAATATAAAGACTTCAGCTCCGACATATTTATGCAGTCTTTATTAAAAGTGAAATTGGCGCACGTATTTCGGCAGATACTATTATGAATATAATGATTGGTAGTTAATAATTAAGCAGCCGCACTAATGTAGTGTCCCATCTTCCCCTTTTCACTTCTAAACCAAATGTCACTTCACGTTTCAACTTCAATTTTTCATTTTCCTCCATTATTCTATTAGCGACCAGGCATCATTTCGCTTTGCCATATGCCACCACATTGCCGATCGTCACCCCCCTCTCTCTCTCCTGTCACTATCTCTCGCTTCCCCTCATTCGTCTGTTTAGTTCTAGCCCTCTGGCCTTGCAACCTCATGCTCTCCCTTTCGTTGATTCACAACTCAAGTGTGGGACTATTCTCTGTGATGTAAAAATAAAATCAAATTACGAGTGCACACAGTAGCCACACAATGTAAGGACAGATCAACACACTTGCCAGACAATCACATTCCCCCTGTAAGAGGATTGGATGCAAAATCCGTATTTAGTAGCTTTACTCTAAAATCATTTTTGCATTCATGCTTGTACCATTCTTCGTACTTTATGAGTTCTGCTTATATCTTGGTTTAATCCAATAATTGACTCCATTCAACACGAGCTTTTTTTAATTTTAGGAGTTTTTCAAAGCGGTTTAATGATCGGCTTTGCCTGGTGATTTGAAATGTATTTATGAAATTTAACATCATGTAGTCGAACATTGGTACTTTATTTTCTTGTTTAACTAAACCGCTTTGTGTTTGTATTATTGCAATATTTATGAAAATGCTTTGTCAGAACATACATATTTATGATTCTGATATTTTGTTTTGATAATAATTCATTATAATTTGCTGAAAAATATTTTCATTGTAATTTTTTTTTTCTTTATGTATCCTTAAAAATTATAAAATTCAGGAAAAGTTTTTTTTAAATTTTTAATATAACGTTTGACTCAATTAGAAAAACACATTGAAAATATTAATTGATGATAAATTTGTGAGGGGGAAAAAAGATGCTTTGGAATGTTTCTATGGGGATTGTGGTGAGGAGAGGGTTGGGGACATGGACAAACTTTTGTTTTCCAGATGCAATAAATATTTTAAATATATCATGAATGAACAGACCATTGTAAAAAATAAATAGACGGAGAAAAAAGTTGATTATTGGGCCCCTGTGACCATATAGTAAGATGACCTGTAGTTCCTAAGAACCATCATGCATTGGGATATGCCGTGAGTTGTCGGAGAATTATCCCTGGGACAAGAGTCAAGTCTTAGCACCAATCTCGATCATAATATTCTTGCTTATAAGTGAAATATACATCATTTCATAGGTTATGACGGTTAGTAGGCCCCCTAGAGATATTTCATTTTTTCCTACAATTCCCTCTGGTCAAATCCAACGTAAAACAAGAGATATCAGAATAATTATGATCCTTCCAAACAAAGACCAGTCAACCCTGGCGTGTGCTATGGACTCTTGGGTATTTGCGTTAGATTCTGTGAGGCAAGAAAAAGATATGTTCGCCACACGATAACAGCGGACAATGCCAGCAAGACGGTTGACGTGAAAGGGTTGTTACTCAGCCTGTCAACTAGCAGCCTTTCAGCATGCCTTCTATCATGCACTACTAAAATAGATGGCCACTGAATTACCATTTCATTTTAATTTTTGCATTATGATTGAGCTTGTAGAGTCACACATCAGCGACCGCGTCAGCCGCAATGAAGGGTGAATTTGTTTCCTCTCCTCACATGCCAACTCAGTTCCTCAGCCCCATTTTTCCCCAACTGTGAATGTAGACGCTAAATTACTCTGGCTTTTATTTGCTCGTTGTTCTCGTATGTCCATTTATCAAAGACAGTTGTAATTTCGTTAACTTGTCTTGATCAGGTCCTAATCTCAAACCAATGCAAATACATGCAGATTTTCAACGCCGTAATAAAACAGTACTTAGCAACCGTAACCGTGTTAATATTTCATCCCAAATGTATACAAGTGACTAATAATAATTTTCTTTAAAAAAATCATCACAAGAAAGATATATTTTAAATACTGAATTTAATTTTTTTGTTAATCTTTCACTTGCATGAAATGCCCATAGCAACACAGCAGCCATTTTGTATTCTTACCCAAAAATTCATTAAAATTTAAAATGAGGCAAAGAGGTGATGGAAGCGATAATGAAAACATGAATTAGAATGATTCATAAAAGTCTCTATACCTGTGTTTTAATTAAATTTTAATTTCTTTGAGTGTTGTTTTGAACCTTTTTGTTCAGTACACTGTTCCGTAACGCTTTCTGTGTAGAGTTTAATTAGGCAGTAAAATGTGAACTTTTTTCGCTTTTATTTTGGCCAAATATTAAATTCCTTATCAAGCATATTTTTTAGACATTTTTCCAGCAATTTATTGTTTCTGTTGTAAAATTAACAATGTAAAGTAAGATAAAAATAAATAATAAAAATAATATTCAATTTTTTTTCAAGATGGCTGAAATATTGTCTGCACGATTCTGAAATTAATGATATTAATGAAAATAGACAACCATTGAAATTGGTTATTCAGAACTAAAATAATTGGTTTTGAATGGATTTCGAAAGAAGTACAGTTTCATTTGAAGCAAAGCAAACATACACACCATAAATGAACATCATAAAGTTTTATGAATTTTTAAGAAAAGAAATTTAATTTGAGGCTGCGCTCTAGACAACATTCATCATCAAATTTTTGCATAGTAAATTTTTAGTGAAAAACTGACTAAAATGTTTTATTCAAGATAAAATAAAATGCATAATTGTTTGGATTTGAAAAAATTATAAAAAGTACACAGCACCCAATTTTTGTAATTTATATCATACATAGCCCAATTTTTCAGTGTCCTGATAAATAAAATTAAGTTGCTGAAGAAAATTAAACTATATTCGCTTTGAAAATTTGCCACGATTCGGCTGAATTTGGTTTTATCACGTTTGAAAACTTTTGCTATCAATAAATTTCTGTAGCTCAGCTGATCAAACACGGTCTATGAGACACAGATGATAGAATGCGCCAGTAATAGTGGTAGTAGTACACACCACAGATAGCCGAAATGTACCCACTTTGCAGCAACGCAAAGTGTCAGTCTGAACGGTGCCGACGGAAACAAATCTACCGAAAACACAGTTAAATGAGTAATGTGCGCTTGTAATGAAATGAGCGGTTAGATGTTGACTTTTGAACGATATTAAAAATTCGATATGATTTTGAATTCTTGGGGGAATACCATCATTACTGCCTGGTGGAAAAGAAGGATGACGCTAAGCAGAAAGAAGATATACGATTTGTGCCTTATGAATAATCAATATACCGAGAGACAATGATCGTGCACGCTGATAAACAGTCTTTAATTAACATTATTAGTTATTTCCTGTGGTTGACTGATTTTCATGATTTTATGTCATTATATTAAAATTGAGTAGTAAATTTGCCAATGGGAAGCCATCAGTAGAGAAATCATCTTGTTGATGTTGTGACCCATCCTCTCTGAGTATAGGGCTCCCTCTTGTGTTGATATTTGGAAAGAGATGTCAAACGTTGATTTAGGTATGGTTCATTTAACAGCCAGTGGGGGAGGGGGTATTATAGAACCTGATAAGGAGGGACCATTGATTTGCCCTGCTCTCTGACTTACAAAGCCTCTAGTTCTTCTTTTAATGATTCCAAGTCTTATAAACACCTTCAGCAAAATGGATAAGTTTTTTTAATGCATTTTCTCTCTTGAAAATATTGTAGTGATTAAAATCATTTACTAATGCTAATATTAATGGTAGGTTAAGATATTTGATTTTAATAAAAAAGAAACTTAATAATCATTCACATGATTCAAATAATGATAATGATAATAATGATGATAAAGATAAAGGAATATTTTACATTGAGATCCTTTACTTAGGGTTGAAACTAATACTACTAATTAAAGATTAGATTTTTGTTATGACTGAATATAACTAGATGTAACTGGCTATAACTAAATAAAACTAGATGTAACTAAATATAACTAGATGTAACTAAATGTAACTGGATATAGCTGAATATAACTAGATGCAACTGGATATCAACTGGATATAACTGGATCACTCGCTCAGATCGTCAAGTTTCAATCTTACTCCTGTTTACAGGTTTTTCTTGAAGTTATTCTTGAAATGTAACCAGAACTGCCTCAAGAATGCCGGCAACCCCAGGGATATGCGAAGATTTCAGGTAATTTGATCAGTTATTTTTTTTACTCAATATTTTTCAGGTTTTTCTTGAAGCACTTTATGAAATGTAACCAGAACTGTCTTCGGAACGCTGGCAACCCCAAGGATATGCGAAGATTTCAGGTAAAAAGTCAAGACCTTGATCACGAAAAAAAATGAAATAATTGGTCCTGGAGCCTGACAAGAAAAAGGATATAATAAACATCTTTTTTTTTTCTAGATATATGTTAGATGTGGATTTTTAAATTTTTTTTTTTATAAATATGTGTTTCGTGTAATTATTTTTATAATTATTTTGTATAGGTTTGAAAAGTGTTGTAATGATTTTTAAAATTGTCAGTTTAATTTAAAATTGTGTGTGTATACTTTTTTTTTTATATTTCGAATAACTAGATGTACTTAGTTATGGTAGGGGTCATGCATGAAACATATAGCCAACCTATTTGAACTGGATGCCTTGGGACTACTCAGACTCTGCCAATGGCATTATGTCGATCCCGCTTTCATGATATTTCACTGCAAAAAATCACATGCCCCGAAGTGATCCTTGGAGATCCTTCTCTATCTGTTTTACAAGTATCCTGTCAACATGGTTATCTCCTTCTTTTTGCATTTTAAAGACAGTCGATTTCTTTAGAGACCGACTCCGCTAATTTGAATATGTTGTTGGTGACCTCTGGTGTCAGCATCTGACCTCTGCTTTTAACCTTCGTATGTCGGCTGACCAAAATCATCAAAATTGACGGAATTGCAACAGTGAGCGGAATGGCTAAGTCTGGTCACATGACAATTGGGTTTTTCTTTCGTGGATCCCAGCTGAGTTGCTGAATTTGGCAACGGAGGACGGGAATTCTCGGCAGACTGAATTAACAACAAAATCACCTCCAGAAGAAAAAAGTAGATTAGTCAAAGACGAGACTTATAGAGACGAGACTTTTGCTCATTTCAAAGGTGAAAGGTCGACTCTCTTGGTGAACAACCTGTCATTTTCCCCCACCACAAAATTCTCATTAAACCATCAAGACCTAAAATAAAATTATTGTGATTTGATTCGTGACTGTCTGTCGACTCATGACAGATCAACAAATTATATTTTTTTTTTCTTAAAAATGATAGACAAGTAGAAATAAAAAAAAATGTCTTGATTATTCTTACAGGTTGTCATATCAACGACTCCAAATGTTGATGGCCATGTCCTTGCCGTGTCTGATAACATGTTTGTACACAACAACTCAAAACATGGTAGAAGAGCCAGACGGTTGGACCCATCTGAAGGAGGTAAGATACTGAAATACTATTGCCTCATTGGATGGAATAATAGCAATCAGCTTTCTGATTGGTTGAGGTGCAATATTTAACCAATCAAAAAATGGGACTACAAGTCTTGATGAAAAGTTTTGAAAAAAATATAGAAAAAATGATGCCTGTTTATTTTGTGAAAAGCACAAATATTGACGTTGGCATTCAAAAGTTTTAGAAATAACAGAAGAATTTGCTCAAAATAATATTATGGAATACAGAAAAGTAATGCATGTATGTATTCCTCCTTTCCCACAATTTTCCCAGAAGTATTAACCACTCCACCTCTGGAATACCCTCGGATATAATAGCAGTACCATGGGATAGTCAAAAGTTCAAAGCTCAACTGTGTTGCCTTGGCAACAATATATTTAACATAGAACTGTGAAATATAGAATATTTAATATGGCTGCCTTTATAATTTTTAAATTCTAAAAATACAACATTGAGATTTACTTTGTGTGTTTGTTAAAAAATTGTGAGAAAATGGATGAGATTAGTCTTATCGGTTTAGAGTCTCTAAAATAATGTAAACCAGTCTTAATTGTAAGTCAAACTGATAGAGGGGGGAGATGTGTGAGAAAGGCTAATCGAGGCGAGTGTAGTATACTTATCAGATACGTCTTGCTTATCACCCAATGCAGTTTAGTTAAGAAATCCAAGATAACCCCTGGGTTAGATGAGTAGAGTAATCAGTGCTTCAATTTGGTTACTGTAATTCAACGGAAACGTCATCAAATCTGATGCTATGAGATGAGAAATTTTATCCCATTTGACTGTTTTAACTTTTAATTCAAAGATAAGAACGCAGAAAAAAAAAATCAGTACGCTTAAATTGAACCGTTTGACTAATGGGTACTACCGATTGGGTGAATACATGAGAAACGTTGCTATACTTTATATGTAAATAAAATACAGAAAAAATGCTTAAAATTGTGAATATCTTGTTATAAGTAAATGTATAGTTACTCTCTAAGGTCAGAGGGCAAATGACATGCCACACATCGTTAAGGGAAGTGTTGCATCAAATTTGGGTCACGTGCGAAAGGTAGTATCAATAAAATAATAAAATTAAAGCAATTGATACATGAAATCCATTTTGGTGGCATTTTATTCCAACATATTATCTCTCAAATTTAATCAGAAGATAATGGTAAAAAAAAAAAAAAAAAAATTAACATAAAATGATTTTGTTGTTGTAATTTTTGTGTCTCGGAATTTTGTCTCTGAATGTGCAGTCTGTAAAAAATAAGATATATAATGCACTAGGTAGCAGGTGTATTTTCCTAATCCAACTTAAACATAAAATGACAATATTGATGCAGCAGGTGAAACCATCCAGTGTGCTATATGACGTGAATATTGCTGAGAAATGCAACACCTATATACAGTACTTTAGCAATGATCAAAAGTAAAGATATTACAGAATTTTAGCAGGTGGAATTCTCTCAACCATGTCGGAAATTTGTAGAAATTGACGAAGAGTCATCGCTAGTAGTGCATGACGTGGTTGAGCACTGAAATGTGACCAATCTTTGTGACACTCGGTTCGTCAGAGTTTCAACGATATTCTGCTGAATGCCAAAAATTTTTTTTTTTTTCGTCCCCATAAATCTTATTTGGAAATTGCCTTACGATGATGATGATGATCAAGCTAACATTTTGTGTACAGTAAAATTATTAATTCTCCACTTAAGATCTGCCGAAGTGATAGCCTTTTGACCCGCTTCCTCATAGATTTATGACTGACCTCAAAACATACTTATACCTGATGCACCATATTTTCTAGCAAAATAAAAAAAAAAAAAATTGGTGCAGATGACTCTTCGTTTTATTTTAAATTAATGATAATAATATAATTTATTAACTTTTAATCATAATAATAACTACGTGTCTTACAGTGAAATTTACAAATGGTGATTTTATTTTGAGGTGAATAAAAACGAAAAACTGAATTTAATTGATGGGCTGCCTTTTCCATGTATTTTCAATGTTCCTTGCCGTCCTTGTTTTATTCTGAATTAATGTGACTGTTGAAATATACGTATCAGTGACAATATCATGCCAAGTCAGAACGTAGCATAATGCCAATGAATCACTTTGCATTCTTCGCTTCATTCGTAAATCCCCGCATTTCCTGTTACTAGCGCATGTTTGAATTGTTAGTTTCTGTTAAATCATCACCGATCGGGCTTTTCCTGTTAGTCATTATTCTTCATAGTGGAGGAATCTTTCTCACTGCTGTTCAATATTTCATCCAGCCCAGATTGTTTTTGACGACAATCATGTTTCAGCGCTCAGATGAAACGGATATTCTGAATTTCATGATCCACATGATTAAATAATCAAATGAATAAATAATTAAAAAGAGAAATAATTAAAAAGAGACATCTATACCCCGATACACAATTAAATGAATCAAGTTTTACACTTCAAAATAAATAAATTGATTAAATAATAAATATTCATTATTCATATTCCTGTCTGTGAGTGTGTTGAGTTCTCGGACTTCTCAGCAGAACTGATCACTGTCAAAGTCCTAAAAACACTATTTTAACAAAAGCTGAGATTTTATCAGATCAAAACTGATCTAGAAATACTAAGGTTTACACGTCTGTGAAAAATAGAAATCAAATGTAAAGCTTGAAAATAGAGATAGAAAACATTTCCATTTTTAGCTGATTGCTTTGAAATGTTTTTAATGTATGAAAAACAATTTAAAAAAGATCCCATCCTTTTCACCCTGTTTTATTATATTTTATACCACTTTTTGCTTTTTTTTCTCCCTTCAACAATAATGTATTGTAGGTTATTTGTGTTTTGTACCTGCAGCTACTCCCTGCATTAAAGCGATCAGTCCGAGTGAGGGATGGACGACTGGCGGTTCTACAGTCATTATTATTGGAGACAATTTCTTTGACGGCTTACAAGTAGTATTCGGGACAATGATAGTGTGGAGCGAGGTGAGATTTTATGCGATTCTACGATTAGAGTCCTGAACATCAGAATTTTGTTATCTGATTTCTCAATAAAAATTGGCATTTCAGGATCTGATGTTATTTGCTGTGGCTTTAGACCAATGCTATACAATTAACATATTCTTATGAAAGTAAGTTTTCTTTAAATTATAAACTAAATCATGGTTTTTTGGGGTTTTTTTCACAGTTGATTACTTCACATGCAATCCGAGTTCAGACACCACCAAGACACATCCCCGGCGTAGTGGAAGTTACGCTATCCTACAAATCGAAACAGTTTTGTAAAGGAGCGCCAGGAAGATTCGTGTACACCTCGCTGACAGAGCCAACGATAGACTACGGGTTCCAAAGGCTTAGTAAACTAGTACCCAGACATCCCGGCGATCCAGAAAGACTACCCAAGGTGGGTTCATGGGTAATCTCTAACACCCCCTTAAAATAATGGTTACACCCAAACTTTGCTGTAATTGGTTGAAACCATACCGGTACTCTTTTTAGGGGATTTTTAATATGATGAAGTTGATGCTGTTGATGAATTCTAACAATACATTGCATTGAAGTATGATAAAGTCAGGTGGCCTACATCATTATTTATAGCATGTTAATTTGTATCACATGGTTATTTTTGACCAATCAAATTTATTCTACACAGTAAACTTTGCGTGAGAAGTTTAATTTTTTCCTGTAATATGTTCAAAATCAAAATATCACAAAAAATGACAACTTTTATTTTTGATTGATTTGAGAATCAAATTGTTAACACTGCTTCAACTCGTTACCACAGTTGAATTGAAACAGATAAGCCAAACTTACACATCTCAAGTGCTTCTCTTAAACGTGTGTGAACAATTTTAGAATTGAGAAATTGCGTGTTGGATGAGAAATTGCTTTGAACCACCTTTTTGAATTGGTTAAGAAATTAAACATACAAATGGTTGCTAAGTGTAACCAAGCATTGATTGATGCTGTCACAGATGAATAATTTAGTACAAAGTACAGATAGTGGATATAGTAGGGAATAGATTTGCTTGTCAACAAATGCAGGTGACAATGAAGACGTATTATTGACATTTGACCCCTGGCAAGTCAGTTTGTGAAATTAAGGGGGGTGATATATCCATACCTTCATAAAATCCAATCCCTCTGAGACTCAAACAACGTTTCTATGATTACGATAATGAACATCTTGAATGTGTTTGGATTCTTAGCATAGAAATAAATCCAGTCTTGCCTCTTGTCCATTTTGATAGATTAAATATCCTGCTATCTCAATGTGTGGACATTGCATTTTGTTTTGGCTTAAACTTTAAAAAAAAAAAAAAAAAACTTGTACCATAATTTGTTTTTGTACTGATACTGTACATGAGATATTGACAATATTGTTGATGATCGGCATAGCAACAAATTTTTGTCAAGGTTGAGGCTTCCACTATTAACATGTTTCTGGATAAAAAAATATGATTGGCTTTAACGACAGAGTATATGAACACAATGTAAATTTCACAGTTAGATTATGCATTTCTGCTCCTTATTAAGATCCATGTGGAACACGTCAAGAGGTATCTTACTTGCAAGGACTTATTTGTAGTAAGCTTGTAAGTTTTTTGTGGAAGCTTACTCACATGATTTGTGGGACACTACAATAATATGTGTTGCCATAGGGAACGGAATTGTCGCATTTGTGTAAAAAAAGTTAGTATTCTGTAATCTTTGTGGTGCACCTCCTAATACTAATTGGTTTGATTTTTAAGAGGGGTACTTTATTTTGTATTTTATTTTTATGTTGGTGGTGGAGGATCATTATCTAAATGTTGATGTTTTATCTGTGGAATATTTGGACGGATTAGCGTTGTAACAGAAAGCCAGATCCATTAAAACAAATAACACTTTTACTTATCTATGCGGTAAAGTAAGACCATTGCAGGTGTATCCGTTGACAGTGTTGTTAACATTTTTCTTATGGATGTTTTAATCCGACTTTAATGTCTCATTTTCAGGAAATCATCTTAAAACGTGCTGCAGACCTCGCTGAAGCGCTGTACAGTATGCCACGTAATCAACTGCCCGCACTCACTGCTCCTCGTTCACCAGCCTTAAACAATACAGGCAGCATGATGGGTATGAATTCATTCAACAGCCAATTAGCTGTCAGTGTGCCAGATAATAGCGGTAGTGGCGGCCAGTCAGGTGAGCATGGCATGCTGGGATACATTCCATGACTGTGATGCTCCTACCAAATGATAATAAAAAAAAAAAAAAGAGATAAGAAAACATCAGTAGTGCAAGAAACAAACAAACAAACACATTGAAAAAAGATTTAAAATCAACATAAATTGTTCTTTATAAATCATATATTCTTGGGAATTGATTTACCCTGGATGTATGCTTTTATTTTGTTCCAGTGTGTCGTCCTCGTCCAGAATTATGCGTGTTGTGGAATCTACTGTGATTGTGTATTTTATCACTTCCAGATATAAAATCCTTTCAACAACAAAAATTTTAATATATAAATTTTGGCATTAAATTATTGAATGTATTTGTTTTATTTTTGTTTACAAGTTTAGTTCTTGCATGAAGTATACGATACCAGCCCACTGCTCACTTTGGCTTGCCATTTTGTTTAGTTTTAGAAAAGCGACTAAAATAATGAAAGCACTAATACTGTATCACACAATGTTGCATCTATAGTAAAATAATTAATATTATTTTATTTTATTTTTTGAATTTTAATTTAATTGTATTTAATAATTTAATTAAACAAATTAAAAAGTCTTTTTAATTTGTATTTAATTCATATTGCAATAGTTGTGAGATACAACCTACTAATAGTGTAACTTTTATTTTGTTTTGTTTGTTTTTTTTTCACTAAAAAGACTAATTCTGTCTCTGATATCATCTCTCTAAATTACTTTTGTTTGTTTATTTATGTGTATGGTTCTCATTGCTTGTCGTTTCTAAACAGTCAGACTTTCAGTGAAAACTTTAATTTTGGGTGGATTTTAATCATAATCGCTAATTTTCGAACATTTAAACAGATTTCACACTTGCAGTGAACCAAGTATTGTAATATAAAAATGCTGTTTGGATAATGCATAAAAACAAATATTGTATCAAGTTCATCAGAACGTTGTGTTTTGTTACAAATTGCGTATATTGATTCGAACGCTTCTCGGCTTCTATTGGCAGGCTTTTCCCGAGTTCAAAGCAACAGCATGTCACCGCGAGGGTATTCATCAGGTGTTTCAACACCACACAGTAATGGTAGTTCGTATCCTACTAGCTCAGTCAATGGTTACGGCAATGGAAGCTCGCTGTCATCGATGGCAGTGCCGTCATCACCAAGTTTTCTTAATGGAAGTTCAAGTAAGCACACTTTTTTTTTTTATGATTTTTTGTGAAACACATGAAAACATATTTTCTGAAAGCTAAGTATGATTATAAAAAAAAACTGGAGTGGATTTTCAAAATGTTGACATTAGAAATGTTTCTGATTGTTATAGTCAGAAAAAAATATGTATTTTATCAAAATTGCTACAGTTTCATTTTTTCCCGCTTCTGTTGTCTTGTGATTCATACGAATGTTGGTTTTTGTTAAGATGATTCATTCAACATTATCAGTCTGTTGTTTTCAAGAACTTGTCTCATATTGCAAAAAATTAGCACTAGTACTGAATATTGTGATTTTCAATTTGAGTAAACGAGTCAGCTAGCCAGCCATCTTATTTACGCTTTTATGCAATATTTTTTTTTTAAAGTTTTATTTTCGGTTTCTAGATTCTTTCTCAATTTTTTTATTCTCCTGATTATCAACTTTGTCACAAATGCTTTTTTTTCAAGTGTGAAAGTGTGAACATCCATGACTACCCATGATGCTTTGCACTCAAGATGGCTGCCTTTAGAGCAGTGCTTATATACATTCAATGTGGGTCGGCTAAAACTTTTAATGTGTGTTCTCCAGAGATGTTTTTTTTAAAATTGACCATTGGGTATCAGTAATGGCCAAATTGTTCCACCACAAGGAATTGTATCTTTTATCTTCTACCCAACAAGGAGTAATGTAGCTATTGATTTTGGCAGAGTGCAAGCGATATATCTCGTTATAGAGAAATTTAATGAAGTTATTCTGCAATTACTTGAATTAGATGCTAATTAACACATTGGTAAAGATTAACCATAGAGGTAGTTAGGTGATTGTAGTTAATACTTAAATTTTAATCAATTCTGGTATCTCTCGTTGTCACAACGAATGAAAAAAAGTCAGATGTTTAACCTCCTGGATGAGAAAAAAAGATTTCTTAGCCTCAGTTTGATTCCCATCTCCAAGAAGAATTAGTTTTAGTGGCGGAATAAAAAGTAAAAACAAAGCTTGGAAAAAAAACAAGGTTGGTTGTCAAGGGACTGATAACAACAAATCAACCTTATTCGAAATTGTGATATAACTCCTAGATTCCGAGCCATAGTGACCACTGGGACATATTAAGGTTGTATTTTAACAATTCTAGGTAGATGTTGTCTGGTTACGATCCTCTAATCATAGTATTGTCTCTCTTTGCTCTAATCCATGTTCTCTGCTTCCATGGCGATACCATCGTGTTAACTGTTGTTTAGGGAGTATAAGCAAACAGCAGAGCCCATCATCGCCCGGACGGCAACGCCATGGGGGCAGTCCAACCCGAGAAGTGAATGATAAATCGTTCCCTGTTAAATGTCAGACAAAATTTGTTCCCTCCTAATCCCTACAAAATACTGCTGTAATAGAAATTGGAGTTATCCGAGATTTGATAGGATTACATGCCTGAAGCAGCGCTCAACTTTGCTCCATGAATAATTCCATCAAGTTTTCTTTTCTAGAACTCTAAACAGAATGAAATCCTCGTATAAACCTAAGATTAACCCAACTCTTCCTCATAAGTCTTAAAGTTACCTCGTAAATTGAAGTTTTTATTCCGAAAGGTGTTTTTTTTTTTGTAGGTTTATCTGCTAGAGTTGCTATTCGATTTCAGTTGAAATTTTTAACTAATTGTAAAAGAAGTAAAGAAAAATGCGATCAAATTCGTCTTGTCGAGTATTGAGATGTAGTAGCGTAGAGGGTTATTTTCCACTATAGTAAAAACCCCTGAGACTAATTAAATGTTAGAGCCGCTCCGAAAACAACAAATAGGCAGCAAAATAACCACGATGTTCAGAAGTTCTTTTCGCCTGAATTCCCATGAATTCCAGAATTGGTAATATTTGTGACAAACTTCCATCTGGGGCCAGTGGTTAGTTCAAATGATTTGCCTCTATGTGTCGGAACATGGGTGAAATACCAATTATCTTGGTCAATTGGAATATCCTAGTCAATTGAAGTGCCACTTCATATTACTACAAGAGTTGAAAGGAGACCTGTCAAGGGGACACAGGGGGGTTACACGCTTCCAAGTCTCGTCGTACTTAAGGCATCAGCAGTGACGTTTTTTCGGTTTTCGTTCTGCTTCAGTCAAGTTGATTTGTCAAAAATGAGATAGTTAAATTGTTACCATAGACAAGCGGTAATTAGACTGTAGACAAAACTAGTGTACTCCCTAGATTTCAGTAGTTTTCAACAGACTCCTTAAGTTACTGCAAACAATTCACACTAGTTACAATTCTTACATCATTACTGGATTTTCAGATTACTTATTTCGGATTTTATTAATTTTATTAACTTGTTAATTAATAAATATTAAGTTAAAGACCGAAAGAAAAAGAAAACTGTTGTTTTTGCCTGAATTTATATATAATGTGAAATTGTCTGAAAATGTAATTTGACTGAGTTAGATGGGGATGTTCCACAGAACAAGGTGGTGACACCCAGTAATATTTATTATCTAAGTTCAAAGTTCCCGATGAATTGGCCAAGATTTATACATTTGTTGTCATTTATTATAAAACATAACATTCGGCCGTAATTGCTTTCTCAATGAAACTTGTGATTAATTATACTGGTCACAATCTTTGATTTTTGTGTGTAAACTTGCGAACTCAAATCGGCTTAGATCACCCTTACTCGGTATGGACGCTGCGCACAAATTTGTCGAAAGTTTGGTGTTGCGCATTAAAACGGGCTTAGATTATCTCATAATTTGTGAATTTGTCTTGTCCAGCGGATTGTATCTGACACCTGCTCGCCATCGCCGTGATCTATGGCGAAGTGACTAATATCTATAATAATGCTCGAGATTCGTGCAATAATCTGGTTTTAACGACAGGTCTCAGGATACGGATAAACATACAATGGATTTCTGTATTCATCTAGTGGCATGTCATGCTCCGTTCCTTGCCCCGTCTCTCTTGTATGACAGTTATTTCAGCATGGTTGATGAAGAAGTTGAGCAGTTGATCTGTTCTATCTCAGAAAGCGTATGCGTCAATGTCAAAATTAATCTTCCCCTTGCGGGGACCATTATAAGCAATCGATTTTGAGATGCATAGTATTTCACAGACAAGATCTTATCCCGTAACAAACGTATTTCTGTTTTTGTTTTGTTTTTTTAAAATAACACAAATTATTTTCATACAAACAGTAAGCCTATTAACACAGAAAATAATTTAGTATTTTTACTATTTGAGTAATTGGATTTTTCATGAAAAAAATTAATCTGTCAATTGAAACATTCAACAAAAAATATACAATATTTGAAAAAAAAAAAAACATCAATATCTTCGTCCTCTCTTTGTAATATACTATAAACTATTTTGTCTTCACAAGAGACAGATATTCAGTGAAAATCATGAAATTCTGTAGCAGTGAAAATTTATCTGTTGTCCATGACATGAAGTACGACTTTCACAAAATTTCGTCTGCACAAACGCCAGAAATTCCTGAAATTGCGACAATTTATAGCAGCGAAAATTAATTAGTTTACAGTATTCACACAATTCTGTTGAACTGATTGTTGCTCAGTCTGAGCAATTAAGGTGTCAAATGATTTCTTGAATTGGTTTCAACTTGATGTGTGAGGACATTGATTGTTTTTTCTAATGAATTATGGGAAATGGGTTTCTGGCTGTATACACTTTGGTACTTCCTCTCAAAAAAGTAATTTATTTTTTGGAAAAAAATCCATTAAGGCGTTCATGCTTGTAATGTAATGTGTTGATATCCAGTAAAATTTGAATATTAAATGTAATCATTTACATAAATTTCGACAATATATTTTTTTTTTAATTTATCCCGGTTCCAAGATGAACTATGAATTCTTCAGTTGAACTGTAACAACAAACTAGGTACATAATTCAAATTTGCCTTATTTTTCCCACCCAAAAATTTGGTACAACAATTAATGTTACTTTTCCTACATGTCAAGAAAAAAAAATTTAAAAGGGTTATACAGGTTTAATTTTTTGAATGGTGACAAAAGTTGACATTACCAATCAAAATGTTATGAGCATTCCTGTCTTAATAACGACATCTTAGTGTTGATTTGTTTATTGTTAAAATTATTTAATTTTTTCTCACGAAATGAAAGCACTTTATAGATTTTAAGTCACTATATATTTGGTACCTGTAGTTTAAGAACAACATCAGTTTGTGGTTTCTGATGATTTGCATGTCAATATTGCATTCAAGGTTGTGTCCTCCATGAGATCTTCACTGTCTAGCCAATCGTAATGAATCATGTGTCAGTCCAACTTGAATGTATCCACCACAAACTGTGTCAAAACATGTTAAAGACATGTTTTTTTTCAAGTCCATTGTTTCAGCAGTTGTAATGACTGTGTGCATAGGAATGACTGCCTCTCTTTGCGATTACTTATTTTGCTGTTACCTTTTGTGCAACTTTCTTTTTATGGGGGTTTTAATCCCCTTCAATCTTTTCATGGCTTTGTTTTTCTCCCCTCTTTTATCTCCCCCTCTTGTGTTGGGGGTATCGTCAGTCCTTTAAGCAGCTACCTAACTTAATCAGCTTATGTGGTCTTTCGTATGCAAATTTGTTTTGTTGACTTTGATTCCCCGTTCCCTCAGCTTTATTTGTGATGGTTTTGTCGCACAACAGCCAGCATCGGCGAGTTAATGTCTTCAAGTCAGGAGTTTGTTTCAAATTAGAAAAGAAGGAGAACTCCTTTGATTGTATTTACATTTGTGCAGATCAAGAGGGCTCTAGAACAATGGACAGTGCCCCAATATAGCATTAAGGCCAAGAGAAAAAATTTTGTTTCCTACTCTCTGCGGACGGATTTAGAAAACTCGCACCAGCGATTGTTCAGTTAATAATGCTTGCCACAGATTTGTATGAGAAAATGAAGAAGAAAAACAAACAAAAAACTTTTCTTTGAAATCCCTTTTGAGAAAAAAAACAGGATTAAAAAAGAGGAGAATGGTATCTTGATTCTCCAGCTGGCTTTTCAATGCTACAGGGAATTTGCTATACTTTCATACTCTCAATACTCTAATCCTGTCAACGTTTTCTACATGTATATTTTTTTTTTTTTAAATATATTCTTGTGCACAAACAAAATATAAATAGCATCCGCATAAAAATTGCAAGCGAGGACATAACGATTGAAGTATAATTTCACAAAAATCAGCAGTCTCTTGCGCTTTTAGCTTACTGACTAAGTTATTTGGCAGACTTTTGCTTTTTTTTTATTTATAGCATAAATATGTGAATAAATACTTAGTATTTATGCATTTTTTGTATCTACATTTTATAAAAATCAAAGCTAAGCCAGAGTTGCAAGGAAAAACTTTTCTGTGTACCACTCTCTCTAACCTTCTGCTAGAGGGCGCTGTTCCTATCAATTCAGACTAACACCAGTTTTTTTTAACCCAAATGTGTTTAGGTATGATCTATTCATCATCAATGCTGCCCCCAGCAGTCTGAATAGAGTGAAGTGAGTACTTCATTTTTCGAACCACCTAAGTGTAAATAATTGCTTCTTTTGCAAGGCCCTCTAGCTTTTTGTTTTTTTGTCACTGCTGGGTTGTTTTCACTTTTTTAAACTTCTTGATTTGATGAGAACGAATCCTCGGGCAACATTGATTAAGGGAGAAGAAACTGACAGCCAATCAGAAAGCTGAATTTTTCTTTTTCTTCAGGTTTCACAATGTCTCTACACTATGAAAAATCCTGATATCCAAATTTCAATTCTCTTTTGCCGAATGTTGTCTGAAGGATTTCTACAGTAGAAAAAAAAAAAAAGCACCGTTTGTTTTTCTTATTTGACACCAACACGCACTCTTCTGTTTTCTGTCCCACCTCTACAGTTGTCCCTTCCTCGCAGTCTATGCCCCAAAGTGTCTCTTGTACTACGCCTGCATCCAGCAATCAAAGCAACCACACCCCAGGAATTTTCTCATTCTCACCCGCCAACATGATATCGGCTGTGAAACAGAAGAGTGCGTTTGCGCCTGTGGTCCGCCCCCAGTCCAGCCCACCCCCTGCAGGAACCTCCTCGATCAACGAGTGTAGTGGGACTTACTTGCCAGGTGGGTGGGCATAGCTGCATGGTACCTTCCTTAGAATCGAATATTGCCGTACGTTGACATTTTATTCTTTAATTATACGCATTGGTGTCTTAGTATGTAGTAATAGCGGTAGTAGTATCAGTACCTTAAAAATGTTATCTTTGCAGTCGTAGCATTTTCTTTCTTTTTTTTCTTCTTTTTTTTTTGGGCATGTCTGATTTCAGCTTTTCGTCAACGCTGCTAAACAAACTCTGCATGAACGCAAGTACAGACGTGTGAGAGCGTCGCTCTCCTGAGATGTTGCATACACTTGATTGCACTATGGGTAGAGGCAAGCATGACATGTCACGGACTGTAAGCTGACATTTGAAATCTCAGAGAGAGATATCGTTGATCAGACATATGTACCTATAATATTATTCTATTTTCCTGAATTATTTAGCAGCTTCTCATCAAGGTTTCATGCGATTTCAAATCTGAGGGTGGATTCTTTCATGCAGGCTGAATTGTGATATGATACGCATGGCCTGGAATTATTAATAAGTGTAAATACATGTATTATTATTGCTTTATTAGTCGCAGTATCTGGTAACCCAAGAAGTGTCAGCCATTTACTAACTTTTTTTTTTCCTGTTTCTTTAATAGGGAGTGGTATTGTCTCTCCACCGTCATTTGTTGGTGCTATGGGCGGTCCTTTCGCACTACCGACGTGTACAGCACAGAGTTATCATCATCATGGTCTTGTGGACAGCACGGCAAAGTAAATGCAACGTTCTCCATAGCAACAGGACTTAACAGGGTCAAGAGGAGTAATTTTCGATTTACTGGGCTGTTCACCTGGAGAGAACTTTTGAATCACGCACTCCGTCAACACAAGTATTACAAGACCTTACCAATTGCCAATTTTTATTATTAAGACTTTTATGACCGGCTTGCGGTCGCCCAGCAAGTGTTTGGGAATAATTTCTTAAAGGCTCTTTGCCATCTTTGGTATCCATAGTTTTTGAAATTTCAGGACCATTTCATTAAAGAAGAAGAAATTTTCATGACTATTTTAAAACTTATAGTGGAATTCTTCACTTTCCACAGTATATACTTTCTCAAGGCACTTTATCTTAAACTTTAAAATGTATATCAAAAAGTTTTTTTTATGTCTGTCTGTGCATCATCTGTCTGTATTGTGTATTTGTCTCGCTCACATCTCTTTACGGCATTGCAAAAAAAAAAAATCTTCTATCAGTTGATGAAATCACATATTTGTCGGAAAACCTTTTGTTTTTAAAACAACCTTTTTTCTGAAATACATTACTCCAATTTTTGTTGTGCTTTAGAATTTGCCAGAATGCAGCAAAATGCCATTTCTTGTCAAAATAGTCTAACTTACTCAGTCATGTATGGATTTGTTGTTACGTTAGTTTGATCTCTTATCCATGTTATCACCTTGGATACCAGGTACAAATAATTTTGTAATCCACTTGAAGTTTTTTAGTCTTAATTTATTTTATTTCTTGCAATGTTGGACAGAAAACATTTGTACAATATTTTTTTTATTTTTTAATATTTTAATTATTTTATTGACCATTTTTTCAGAAGACGTTATTTCTTTAAAAAAAAAACAGTGCTGTGTTCCAGTGCCCTCAACGTACAGATGTACGCTAACTCCCTAATAAGTATTGATTGAAATACAAATTAGTTGCAAATAGAAAGGATGTTTCCGTAAATTGCAATTTACAAAGGTAAATTCAAGGGAAACAATCTGTCGTAAAAGTTACAGAAACATCCTTTTTTGGTCTGAGGTTGCTACTTAAAAAAAATCATGTCTTAAATCATATTCTCTATTTAAACTTGATAAATATCAAAAATTGATGAAATAGAAAAAAAGAAAAAAAAAAAAAAGTGTACTATATTCTTGTTGCGACTACCCAATGTATATTTTCCTTATTTATCTATAGATCCTATATTTTTTTCTTGTATTAAGTTGGAGTTGTTTAGTTTTTATTACATGCATAATGATGTTACGATTTCAACAAGCCCCACCTGTTATCTGTTGGTTCTCTTCGTCTCGCCACTAGATGGTGCTCTTTCAGTTCAAACACTTATTTCTCTACACAATAGCAAACGAAAAGCTCAAACTTTCAAACACCAACAAATCTTCCTTCTCATTGTGAATAGTCGGATATTGAAGACACTGCCATAACTTTCCAAAATCACAGACCAACTAGAATTAGTGAGAAAAAAAATGTAAAAATACTGTTATTTATCAAGGATTTGGATATCTAGTGCAATATACGAAAGAAGTCCCACTGATATTTGCAGGAAACAGTGTATTTTTTATATACTTCACTGTTACCATAGTAGCGTATCAGTGATGCTAAGCAACCAATTTTGAGGTTGTAGTTTGCTGTTGATATGAATTGTTTATTTCTGTTAACTGCTGTGATTATTTGAGTTCTTAGCAAATTGTGAACTATTTTATGAGTCAATGCATCCATACATTACCATAGCAACCATGACAACTTTGTTTTTTTTTAAATTGTTTTTTTTTACAAAAAATATTTTTTCTTGGTGAAAAGAACAACAAATTTCCTTCAATGCAAATTAATGTTAATTAAATTAAAATAGTTTCTGCAACTATTTAATAGCTGAGACTATTTTGAAAAACAACGAGAAATTTTAGTCATAAAACCATTTATGATTACAATATGCACTCTGCGTTGAATGAAACAAATATGTTGCTGAAATAGATATGAAAAACAAAAAATTAGTGTATTATAGTAAGGGATGGACCATCTGACTATTGGGGGTCAAAATCTTGATGTATGTGATTGCCTGACTTACTAATTATTTTTTATTTTTTTTTGGCAATCAAGACCATCCCCAAGAGTTCAGATGGACTACCCCTTAACCCCATATGCCAAAGCTCTAGTAAGTTTTTTTGTGACAATGCTCTAAGTAAAAGCAGCTAGAACAATCAATTTGCCAAGCAGAAAATGAAAACGATACGTGGATACGAACACGTTTTTTTTTATAATTCAGAAAAGTTAAAAAAAAAAGTTTTCTTTTTGCTATATTTGTTTTAAAAAAAAACTTTCCTAGTGTAGTGGAAATCATCCAACTTAGCCCCTTTAGTATAAATAAATATATATATATATCTGCATCTAGGCTTGTACATTGCACCTTTCAACTTCTGATAACCTTTGACCTTCAAGCCTTGTATCATGGCATCACTTTCAAAAACAAATTTCTCAATAATAAGCTTTTTTCTGTACATTTTTTCTCTAGCCAGTAAGTTGCTAATTTGGAACTTTACTGGTGTGACACTGTCTATTTCAAACTTATTGTTTTTGTTACCCTTTCCCAGTTTTTTATTTTCATTTTATCCGCTCATCCAATTATGTGTACTCCAACAGATGTCGTCATAATAATAATAATAATAATAAAAAATTACATTAAATATAAATTATTGCAATGTGTGTTCATTTCTGTTTTAACTTAAATGTCAGTGAAAATAAATGATTTTACAGTAGTTTTACACGCGTGTAGCGGAGGTTGATGCGGCCTTATGCTGTCTGAGTGCATACGGTATGCATACGCAAATTAACCTTATTATTATCATCTCCATAAATTTTAATGACGTTCTCCTACATTAATCCTTCCAAATGGGCTTATGATTTAGCGTAAACAAAAATATTGCTTTAACAGCATGTGCAACAATATTTGATGAAAGAACACCTATTTACATATGCAGTACTTGTTATTGTGCGTACCAATCATTACATATATTGATATATTGGAGAAGGTTATTGTTACTGTGAACGTATCCATGTGTTGGAGGATTATTTCCAATGCATTGAAATGACATGTTCTCATCCTAGTACAGTCCTGTAGGTT